CCGAGTCTTCTCATGCTTCCATGATGTGAAAACGACCTCAACTTCCAGATGTGAGTAAAAAGACTGCTGAGGAGAAAAGAATCGGTTGTTGTGTTTCTGGAGTTCACACTCTTGTGATCCTGTTTATATTTTTTATTCATGGCTCTTAATATAATTCTGTACATTTTTCAGCATCTTTCTCGTCCCACAGTTTTCATCTGTTTCAACAAGTCATGAATCAAAACGTTCGGCTCTTTCAGGACAATCCTGCTCTGACTTTTGGTATTGGTGCAACTTTAGCTGTTTGAAATATTTAGCCTTTTCTGCTGTTTTGTTCTCATAGAAAATGAATTGAGCTCATTTTACCTCCTTCAAATCTTTAGATGTGTTTACAACCTTTTACTGCTCCTTTCACATTTTGTTCTGCTTCAGCTGTTTTCAGCTTCCTTCTGCTAATTTAAACTTTTTTCAGCTACTTTCAGCTGTTTTGTGCTCCTTTTAGCTTCTTTCTGCTAACTTCAACATTTTTGTGCTTCTTCTAACTTCTTTCAGCTAATTTCAGCTTGTTATCCTCCTTTCAGCTCATTTCTTCATTTCAGTTATTTCAGCTACTATTTAGCTGTTTTTACGCTAATTTAAAGTTTTTCAGCTAATTCTACATTGTTTGCACTCGGTTAAACTTTTTTCAGCCTAATTCAGCAAAAATCTGTTTTTTCCACTTCCTTCTGGTAATTTAAGCTTCTTTCTGCCCTTTAAGCTACTTTTCAGCTGTTTTTTTTTATTTCAGCATTTTTCAGATAATTTCCACTTTTTGTGCTCATTTATGTTTCTTTCAGCCTAACTGGGCAAACATGTTCTTTCTGCTTTCTTCTGCTAATTTAAGCTTGTTCGAGCTTTTCAGCTACCTTTTAGTATTTTTTAGCTAATTTCAGCTGTTTTCAGACATATGCAAGTTTTTTGTGGTAATTTCTGCTACTTTCAGACTAATTTCCTTCTTTCTGTTCATTTCAGCTCATTGTGCTCCTTTCAGCTTAATTCTGCTAGTTTCAGTTATTTCAGCTACTATTAGGTGTTTTTTTGTTGTTGCTAATTTTAGCTCATTTCAGCTATTTTCACTTCCTTCTGGTAGTTTAAGCTTCTTTTACCTTTTCAGCTATTTTTTGTTGTTGCTAATTTCACCTTTTTTCTCTGATTTCCCAATTTTTGTGATTATTTAAACCTAATTCAGCAGCAACTGTGTTCTTTCTTTCTTCTGCTAATTTAGGCTTGCTCTTCCATTTCAGCTACATTTCAGCATGTTTTAGCTAATTTCAGCTGTTTTACAGCAAATCATCTGCAAGCATTCACAATGAATTTTCACAGGAAATGTAATTTCTCTAGTTTCTTTCGATTCAGAGTCCATTTGAAAATATTTTAGCTTGACTTAACGTTGACTCGTTAAACACTGACATACTTTGGGTTAGTTTAGATTGAAAGTAGTCGTTTAAAGGAACAAACCAAATTAAAAGCTTCAAAGAATACATATTTTTTTATTAAATAACTTGGTGCAACATATGAGAAGTGAACTAATTTGGATTTATTCATATCTTGACACTGAGCTTTGGAAACAAGGAAAGTCAGTGGCTGTAATAAAAACTAAATTTTTGCACATTTGTTTATGTTTGCCGTGGGATTGAGAAGGTCCGAGAAGTATTCCTTCCACCTCCCGACGACATCACTGGTTGAGGTCAACAGCACCTCACCTTCACTGAACACAGGGTTAGTAAAGAGCTGCTTCCCCTCCTCAGCCGCCTGATGGTTTTCCAGAATCTCCACAGAGCCGACCGAGACTCTCGATCCAAGGCCTCACCAAACTCCTCCCACATCCAAGCTTTTTGCGTCAGCAACAGCCAAGGCTGCGGACCGCTTGGCCCTCCGGTACTCCTCCGCTGCCTCCCGAGTCCCACCAGCCAACAAGGACCGATAAGACTCCTTCTTCAGCTCGACAGCCTCTGTAACCCAAGATGTCCACTACCGAGTTCGAGGATGGCCACCGCAAGAAGCGCCAACAACCTTGCGTCCACAGCTCAAGGCAGCTACCTCAACAAGTGAGGTGAGGAACATGGCCCACTCGGACTCAATGTTCCCCGCCTCAGCTGGGATGCGGTTAAAGCTCTGCTGGAGCTATGAGTTGAAGATCTTTCTTATGGGTTCTTCTGCCAGGCATTCCAAGAAAACCCTCACTACACATTTGGGTCTACCGGGTCTGTCCAGCATCTTGCCCTGCCATCTGATCCAACTCACTACAAGGTGGTGATTAATTGACAGCTCAGCTCCTCTCTTCACTCGAGTGTCCAAAACTAATGGCCGCAAATCAGATGACATGACTACAAAGTCATCATCGATCTATGACCTAGGTCCACCTGGTGCCAAGTGCACTTATAAGTCTAACAACAGAACACCACTCGGGTTCAGATCAGAAAGGTAATTCCTCCCAGTCACGCCTCTCCAGGTCACACTGTCATTACCCACGTGGGCGTTGAAGTCTCCCAGCAGAATAAAGGAGTCCCCAGTTGGTGCACCTTCCAGTACCCCTGCCAAGGATTCCAAGAAGGCGTGTAGGCACAAACAACCTTCAGCAACACTTGAGCTTCCTTAAATGTCGGTGTGATACATACAAGAATCAATGTAGCATTAAGAGTTCAAGTCATCCAGCTGCTGTTTTGCATCTGAGCTGCCATGGCGTGGTAATAATAGAGAGATAAAGGATGAAAGGGGAAGATGGCATTGTGACGTAATCACAGGCAGTCTATGAAGCCAGTCAGGGGTGGGATTTAAAAGAGGAAATGTTCTCGGGTAAGAGAAGATCAGAGTGTCTTGTTTCCATAACACCCAAAGAGAAATTGAGATAATCAGCCATCCAAGGCCAGAGCCAGATTCAGATTTCAACATTGTCTTGGGTCAGGCCGAGCTTGTTAATTTCCGCGTCTGCCTTTTACAGTCTCCCTAGTAAGTCTCATGGCGACGCCAAACAGCCGAGTTGTGATTAGTTATGCCAAGTTGGGCTAACTACTTCTCCAAGATCTCTTCCTTCCAACCGTCAGTGAACACTGCCAAAAAGTTCCACAGTCCTGCCTGATCCGCTCTGATACAGGCCCACAGATTGTTTGCACAGAGTCTGAGCATTGCCAAGCCCGGCACACACAGACACAGAAAGCTTAAACGGCTGGTGACATTGCCGAATTTGTCGACAATCCAGATTTCTACCAACTCCAAAAAGCAGAATCCAGTTATCATAAATCCATTTATGTTTCTGAGGTAAGAGGGCTCTCCTTCACCATGTCTAAGATCAGTGTTTCTTATATGAAAAAAACTGAAAATGAGTCAAATGTGGAGTTATTTTTAAATTCTCCAATTTTAAAGTTTCAAAATGATCCGTCGTTTGTTTAAATTTGATGAATTAACTCTCTGCAACAATTCAATTAAATTCAAAAAATACTTTATTAATCCCAAAAGGAAATGAAGTGTTGTCATCGTCCTGGTTTCATTTAAGAGTTGTTATAGATGCTGATAGCTGTGGAAAAGAAGGATCTCCTGCAGCAAATCCGAAGAATCTGGCCACAGATACCGATCTGTCCACCCGGATCCAGCTTGCTCTCAGATCTGGCGGGCCTCTTGGTCCTCCTGGGCAGCAGGACTGCCCGAAAGCTCCTCGTCACCATGGACAGACAGCTGAAGGTGCCGGGGAATGATCCCGATCCTCGCGTTGTCACGAGCTGAGTTTCCCACCAGCTCCAGGATCTCGGCGGTCAGGTACTCGAGCACCGGCGCCAGGTTGACAGGAATTCATCCACGGCACCTCCTTTTCAACTCATTTGGGATTTGGGGCTGTAGCTGAGGTGTTTGAGCTTTTGAGATGTTAATCAGCTGCTCCTAGTTGTAGAAAAACAACATTGTTGCATCATAACAAATGCCCAAAAGTAAAACGGTTTCAGTAAAAATCCTTCCACTGCACAGCAGGGATTTCCATCCTGACACTAGGGTAACCGGGACAGAAATAGTCACCCTCAAAGGAAATTAAAATGAACATTTCTCAAGTCATCCCTGTTAAGGAATGTTAATTTAAAGGTAGATTAGGATTGTCTTTTTCTTAAACTAGATTTTACATACAACTCAATTACGGCAAAAATACACTCCTACTTCCGGTTTTCCGCCAACTAATTGTTTGTTGTTTGTGCGTTTCCGTTACTGTCACGGACTGTGGACTCTTTTTCCGACAAAATATTATTGTTGTGTGAATTATGTGTTAAATTTTATCACGTTATCATGGTCGGTGTTCCAAGTCCAAACAATATGGGAGAATGTCTTTAATTTAATCGCTTCGTTTTACCATCACAGAATAAGAAATCAGGTTAAATTATGGCAAATATCAATACAACTAATTTATAATTACAAAAACGGTTAAATAGTTTCATCCGGACCAGTTACTTTAAGGGAAATCGTTTGTGGCGCCAAGAACAGAGTTGACGCATGCGCATTAGCGTTCATAAAACGGTAGTTTTAAAGTAAAGTGGGCGGGGCCCAGTAGTTAAAATAAAAATGTCAGTTTTTACAAGGTAAAAAATTAAATTAACATTTTTTTCTTCTTCTCTTGTTTCGTCGGATTGGCTCAGGACTGATAATCTGGGAGAAATCCGTGAGTTTGTCCGAGAATAATCTGATTATAATCCGTGTTTTCTCCACCTGGGACCTCCCTGCTTCCTCACCTAACTTCCGGCTCTTCCTCCTCCTCCTCCTCAGTCATCCTGTCTGTCGCTCCTTCAGCCTGTCTAACTCTCTGCTCACTCGTTAAACCGGATCCGTCATGTGAGAGTGGGAGTCGTGTGAACGCTCCGGTCCGGACTCCGTTTCTTTGGGCTCGGTTCGGACTCCCCGAGTTGTTTTACTGGACTGGCCCCCCCGCGGCGGGAGGCAGACGGTCTTCTTCTCGTCCCGACGCGGGACTCAGGACGTGGGGGATTATTTTAAAAAGGCACCAGCGGAGACATGTTTACCCGCCTCCCGACGCTCCTCTGTGGGCTTCTATTAGTCGGTAAGACCCGTCTCTGTGCTGGATAATTAATTCCAATGGCAGTCTGGGCTGACAATTCCATGCGAAACCCCGTTCGGAAAAGTGCGAATATAAGATTTATTGTTAGCCGTCGCATTTAAATGCTGTTAACAAGATTATTAAAAACATATTTAGCATCTATAAGCATCACCTGTCCATTCGGCGTTAACACAATGTATAAATCTTTAGCTGTTTTTAACATATTTCAACTTTTCATGCTGAATCTTACTGCTAGCTGCGGTCGTCTATAGTCGATATCGATGGAAGAAATGAACGACTGCAACAGATATGGATCCAAAAAGCTGCCATTTTAGTGAATTGTAGACTTATTTATTCAAGCCGAATAAAAGAGCACATCCTATGCAATAAAACATTGTAAGTTGATTGTATTGTAGCAAGCTATACTCCTTAGGATGGAAATATTATATAAAAATGCTAAATTCCTAAATAGAATTTGGTGCAGTAAAAAATAGTGAGGGTAAATTGTACCCAGTTCCACTTCAAGCTGCCTAAACATGTAAAAACTGACAAGTGGAAAAACACCAGCGTGTGTTGTCCGCCCACTTTCACTTTAGTCTACTACTTTTACAAAGTGAGTCATGTTCAGTAGTAAAATAACATATATGAGTTTTAATTAAGCTTTATTGTAGTGATAACCTCCTCAGTCATGGAGATGTCGGTTGTGTTATCTCAGCCTGACTGGACTCATTTAAATACCAACATGAAGTTATATCTTAACATGTTGTGACACTGCTTTCCTTTTTGTCAAGTTTTATGTTCATTTATTGTCAGACAGCTGCTGGTTCTGCCTCTTTCTGCAGCGTGCACCAGCAGCTGAGTGTTGGTCCAGCTGGTCCGGTTCTTATCAGGACCAGGACCAGTTTCAGGTAACTGTCAGACTGGTTTGAGGCCCGCCTCGCTCAAAGGGACAAACATGGACTTGTTCACTGACCTACCTGAGCGCTGGAGCTGCCATATGTTTATGAGCGTGCGCACGTGTGTGTGTCTTAAATTAGTTCAGTGGAAGATGATCAGATGTCGCCTCCTCGCATGCAGTGCACGTTTCTCTCCAACTGTGTGTGCAAACATTAAACGCATTGCAGGAGGAAGAGGTCTGTCAGATTTTGTCACGGAGCACCTGAACGCCTCACCGGATTCATGAAGTCGTAGCCTTGGACCCTTGAAGCAGAACCAGAGGTTCTCACGGAGCAAACATCTGTTTTTAATTGAAGACCCCCCCAGGAGTTTCCTACAGGAGCTTTAAATCCTGAAAGCAACACGTGAAGTTTCTTTAAAGTCGACTTTGATGAGGAAATCAAATGGAAGACTTCAGATTTGTTGGTTTCACATCACATCACATGACCTCAGACATGAACAAGTTTTAGGGAAGTTCCTTCATGTTTGTAGAGGACGTGGTCTGTCCAGAGCCGTGTAGACTCGACCACTCCATGTTCTCCGTGAGGGAAGTTGAAGCAGCGAAGACGACAGTTTACAAACGTCTGCAAAACAAACCTGATCCTGCCTGGTCCCTGGATCAGATCCAGAACCTTCTCGTCTCCCTCAGTCTGACAACACGTCGGTTGTTCTTCTCAGAACTTCAAGCGTCTCCGTTCCCAACAAAGTGCTTTAGGTTCAGTCTGTGCGCAGGTTTGAAATGTGAGAAGTGGAAGGTTTGTAAGCTCGATCATTCAGGTAGATAACGACAAAAGTTACATCGTGTCGTCTGGACCAGTTTCTTTAAGAGAGAAGCGTTTCGTCCCCCATCCAGAGGACTTCCTCAGTCTACGGTCCACTACAAGAAGTGGTCTTTATCCTGCAGGGAAATGTAATAATCAGTATGGTTTGCAAAAAAGTTGTGTGCAACAGGTTCACGCTGCTAACAGGACCATGCTGCTAACAGGACTATGCTGCTAACAGGACCATGCTGCTAACATTACCACGCTGCCAACATTACCACGCTGCCAACAGGACCACGCTGCTAACATTACCACGCTGCCAACAGGACCACGCTGCTAACA